TCTCTGGAGAGACCTGAAAATAGCTGTGCAGCAACGCTCCCCATTCAACCTGACAGAGCTTGAGAGGATCTGCAGAGAAGAATGGGAGAAACTCCCAAATCCAGGTGTGCCAAGCTTGTAGCGTCATTTTTATTTTAAAAAATATTGTTTTATTTCTCCTTTATTTAACCAGGTAAGGCAGTTGAGAACAAGTTCTCATTTACAACTGCGACCTGGCCAAGATAAAGCAACAACACAGAGTTACATATGGGGTAAAACAAAACATAAAGTCAAAAATAAAACAGAAAATATTTATACAGTCATACCCAAGAAGACTCGATGCTGTAATCGCTGCCAAAGGTGCTTCAACAAATTACTGAGGAAAGGGTCTGAATACTTACGTAAATATGATATTTCCGTTTTTTACTTGTAATAATTTAGCAAAAATGTATACAAACCTGTTTTTGCTTTGTCATTATGGGGTATTGTGTGTAGATTGCTGAGGATCATTTTTATTTATTTAATCCATTTTAGAATAAGGCTGTAACGTAACAAAATGTGGAAAAAGTCAAGAGGTCTGAATACTTTCCGAAGGCACAGTATATATATTCAATAAACGATCACTCAACCTTTGCCCTTATGAAATTATTAAACATCACAGATTTCTCTACAGGATCATATTTACTGATCTGTGTGTGAGATTTCTTGAGTTTTCAGAACCCAAGAAAGCCTGTGCCAAATATGCTATGTCATTAGATTTTGAATCAGGATAGCCTCAATATCTGGTGAATAGTCAGGGAAGCCCCAATATCTGACACACAAGTTGACCAAATGACACATCTCATTTACTCTCAATGGGAGTAGTGATTACTCACACAATAACTAAAAATGACAATAAAGCAATTTCGATATGCATTTTCGAAAGAAAGAGGAAAGGAAAGAAAGCACATTGGACGATCTTTATCTCAACCAGCACATTTATAAGCAAAGACCCTTGCACCCTTAAACTTTTGGAAATCTCATCAAACACCACTTTGACCCGATCTACACAGCTATTTGACATGGAACTCTGTGGTGGTGAGAACTGAACGTTTCTTTTTAACACTGTGTTTTGCTTGAGTGGAATGTATGTATGGGAGACACACAGTAAAGATGTAATCTGCAGACTCTAAGACAAAACATTGCACAATATTGTTTGATCTTACAGTGAAGATAACATGGGTGGTGTAGGTGACTTTAGTAGTAATATTCATGGCCTTTTTAGGACCAATAGCATTTTGATGATAAACTGTTACGGGTCAAATATGGGTTGTGTTGGGGACTAACTTGAGTGCTCTCTTCCACAGTGTTTGTCCTGTTCCTGTGCCTTACTACACAAGTAGCAGCCTTCCAATGGAAACAGATGGCAACACATATGATGTTGCATCATGGACAAAAAGAGTTGGACTACTTGGTATGTTTATGTTTTGGAGCCTTTTCCTGAGCGTGTTAAGGTTAAAGAAACTAAAACTTTATAAAGTAAAGCGATCAACATGATTAACTGTAAATCATTGCCTTTATCATAAATGCAATGAATGACGATTATATTGACACTGTAGAAAATTATTTCAATTTCTATTTTTCATAATCCACTAGAACCAGTCCGGGATTCTTCCCCCCCATACTGGGCCCAACCAGGTGGGCTGGATCCAGGAGCCGAAGATGAACGAGAAGATCACCGGAAAACATCTTTCTGCCTTTCTTTGTTACATGAGCAAAGCTACCAAACTGAACATGGAAAAGAGGGTGATCAATGGACTCAATGAGGCCTGTCAACATATCAAAGACCTGCAATCCTGGATGTGCAACCACCAAGACTGCCAAGAAGTGTGCCAACTCCCTTTTGATGTGAACGACAACCACGAAACTCTTATGTTTGTGAAGAGGCTTCTCACCCTCTATACACAATGGTTGGTAAAAGGAACAGTGTAATATACAATGTGACTACTTGAAGTCTAGCTTTATTAATGAATTCATATATTTATTTTGTATCTATTTATTTATGACCACATTTCTTCATTCATTCATCAGTGTACTGATCAGTGTCTTATCTATTGAATGCACTTATTTGGTTCCGGGTCACATATTGAACATACTGTGTTTTTAGTCAAAGAACTGGCTGTATCATTATGTTATTGTTTATGTCATACAAGAATGTTAACCATTGTTGGAAATGCCATGTATTGTACCTGATGCACATTAAGTAACATGCAATAAAGTACTATGTTCCATTCATAAAAATGTTTCAGAAAATGGTACAAGTTGTCATACTTCCTAGACATGTGCGGTGGGAACATAAGAAAGTAGGATATTGAGGTTACCCAAAACACCGTACACAACAAAAACACAGAACCCATGTAGGAAAAAAACTTTTTTCTTTACTTCATAGAGCAAGAAAGAAAATATTTACAACACTTACTTATCTCAGAGCGAACAAACATAGAAAGACAAGGACTTCCAAAAAGTAATCTCATAAATGAAATCTCCCTTAAACAAAATGGTTAATACTTGTTTTATAACTTAAACAATGTCATGATTCTTGACAGAGCAATATTGGAAACTTTCCCACATAGTAACTGCTTTGCAAAAAAAAAAAAAAAGAGTTTAATCATCATGACATCCATCTGCTCTTGCCCTTTGAGTCTTTGCATAGTTCCAATTCCCTTTGAATGGAAGAGAAATACAACTTTTGATCTGAATGATGTTAGATAAATGTTAGTTGTGATCAGCCCCCATGCTGTCTGATGTGGGCAATTTTGTACATGTGGGGCTCAGAATCTTAATCTGTAACAATATAGATCCCAGTCATTGGGTAAAGGGGACTCCACTCGTAGACATTAGGTGATCACAGTTATTAAGACATGTACTAAGGCCTCTCGAAAAGCACCCTAGAAAACCCCTAGAAAAGATATACATTTATGAAATAAACAGAACCAATGGTGCTAGATTTGATATAATTCAAAGTAAACTGTTGTTGTGCGTCAAAGTAATAAATACAGAAAATTCATTACACTGCCTGAGGAGTGTTGACACACAAAATGTGCTAGACATATTGTAAAAAAAAGAAATTGACAAAATATCACCCTGCAACAGTCATGAGTTACAGTAATAAAGTATCCATGTATATCCTGTTCTGATAAAGGAGTATTCTCTAGACAGACGGGATGCCTCCCACAATGTGCCAATGTAGGTTGGTGTTTCCAAGACTAATAAAGGAGAGGGGCGTAAAATGTATGTTTCTACATTAATTTCAATATGGCCTATAATGTTTAACTGTACCTTAGACAAATAAGACCTGAATTAGGAGGAGAGAAATGCATCTTTGAAAGGCTAGCATAAGGCCGTCATAAGCATGCATTGCACATAAGCATGACTTGATTATGAGAAACAAAAAAATAACATACATACGCTATGTATGTAACCTGTATGCTTATGGCTGACGCTTGTCTTCAGCTTAAAATATCCTGATTGTGTGTGTTTGGTTATAGGGAATAGCATAAAACACTCACCAGCGCATCCCTTAGCAAACAAGAAGAAAAGGGCAACATTCACCACATAATGTTTGAATGTTCCTATAACACAATGTTTATTTGTTTAAATGACTGAATGAAAGGTAGGCTGCAGCATATGAGGTTAAATGTACAGTGAGTGTGTGCCCCAAGTGCTTCACATCTGTCTCCGGACCACTCAGGATCCATTTGTAAAGGCTGCATTTTCCTTGAGTGAAAGGTTAATACTTTTCCATGGATAGCCTTTGGCTTAACATCTGAGGATATTAGAGACAAGAAAAGGGAAGAATACCCAGGACGTCTGGCCACAAAGGACTGGGACACCCTCCCTCCCACTGCATGGACAGAAGACAACTGTGCAAGAGTTTGAGATCCCACCAGATGCACATGAGCTGAATGATGAGAATGAAAAAGCAGTAACAAATAGTTACTGTTGAAGGCATTCATGGTACTCAAAGCATACTGCCAATCACTGCTAAGCTTTTGGTTTGTTTTATAGCCTATTTGATAGCAAACTCAGTCTATCCACACTCATCGTCCTACAACAGAGAAAACAACAGAATCCCAATCAGATATTTCCCTTTTAAGACAGTTCATAGGCCATTTTATTTGTTTCATACCTTAAATAATTTAAGAGCTGAATAAAAACAAAAAGATCAAACAAAACGAGCAAGTACGCTAACTGGTTCAAGCGCCATGTTATTTGCCTGCTGAAGTGAGCCTGAAAACAAGCTGGGAGTTCCACCATCAGCAGTGTTGAAGGTTACATTAACAAAGAGCAACGAGGGCGGCAGGTTGCCTAGCGGTTAAAGCTCTGGGCCAGTAACTGAAAGGTCGCTAGTTCGACTCCCCGAGCCAAGAAGGTGAAAACAAAATCGGCCTATGTGCCCTTGAGCAAGGCACGTAATCCTAATTGCTCCAGGGTCGCCTTTTACAACGGCTGACCATGGCCGTGACCCCACCCTCCGAGGGTGTCCCAGGTGGAGTTGGGATATGCAAAAAACACATTTCGAATTCACACATACGTATAATACACACTTATAGATGTGTGAAATAGGACAAATATAAGCGCCTACATTATTGCTGTGTTCAAAACATGCTGTAAATGTTGTTCTATGGGTTGTGTGTATCAATCATCCAAAGTAATGCACCGAGCCTGGGTTATTGACAGCAAAGCCCAGTCGGTGTAGGAATGATAGGTCAGTGAGCTGGATAAGGTCACGCATAAAAAGACCCTAAACATCATGTCCTGTTCTGAATGTAATGGATAGGGTGGAAGACAGAGTAACCTCTTTGGATTACCTTTAAGGCAAACTAGTGCTGGTGCTTTTCCATACTGTAGTTTCAAGGTCTTTTTCAATCTGGGGAGGTTAGAGGAGTTTGTGGTAGGGGCCCTCTGTGGAGGGCTCTACTAGAGGGTACTATGACCATGCCCTCTATCTGAAACCCTCTTCCGCTTCCTCTCCCCTGAGGCTAGGAGTCTGCAGAGTGCCTGTGGGTGTTGGTGACAGCCTGGGTGGCTTCCTCAGGCAGCAGGGTGGGGTCAGTAAGGACAGATGTGCTCGTGCTGAGCTGCCGGAGAGTGCTTAGGACCACTGGACAACAGAAAGACCAATCAGCTATACATTCATCACAGTTGACATTTTGTGTGAAAACAAGTTACACAAAACAAGATAACGACAAGGAGCTAGCATGCCTCTCAGTAGGGCTTCAGATTGTGCAGCTGACTCATGATCCTACTTCCGACAGCATGCTAATCAGACCGTAGTAATATAAACTAGTGAACTGAACAGTCTCCAGCGATAATAATCTCTGACGTTAACATCCCTCCCTCATATCATGAGATCTCTTCTCTTAGAGAGTGTGTCTCACACAGAGGCTGCCCAAGAGACTGAATGTGTTCTTTCTTGTAAATAAATGACAGGGAAAAGATTGTGTGTGATAGTGTTTGACAGACCATGACACACCAGGTAGCAAATCTTTCCTTGGAAAGAAATGGGGGTGGAATGGACTTTTATACATTCTAAAGAAAGAAGTATAGCGTACATCACACATACCATCTAACACCTACAGAAAGACAGTCATTCAAGTCAAAATCATAGTGAAATGCGATAATGGAACCATTAGCCAGCTGTGCCTTCTCTACCCACCTCCTCACTGTCCTACTCTGACACAGCTACCATTTAATTGAAAACAACGTGTGTGTGAGCGGTTTGGGGTGATGCGTGTCGTTTACTCACTGGGCCTCAGCACAGGCAGGGAGCAGTGACGGTCCAGCCATTGCAGTGTGGTCTCACACAGCTCCCCTTTGCTTGTGGTGGAGACCGTCCCATTGAAGGACTCAAACAGGGGCTTAATGATGATGCTGAACTAAGGATGGTGGGTCAAGGGTCAAACACACACTATTGAGGAAACAGATCTGAATTTGCATCCTATTCCTTTCTCACACTGACAGACAGGACAGATATACTCAGATGGCTCATGGTATCACAGTCCTTCAGTGAGGTCCAAAAGTATTTGGATAGTGACTTTTGTTGTTGTTTTGGCTCTGTACTCCAGCACTTTGGATTTGAAATGATACAATGACTATGAGGTTAAAGTGCAGACTGTCAGCTTTAATTTGAGGGTATTTTCATTCATATTGGAAATTACAGCACTTTGTACATAGTCCCCCATATTAGGGAACCAAAAGTATTTAGACAAATTCACTTATATTTGTATTAAAGTAGTCAAAGGTGTAGTATTTGGTCATATATTCCTAGCATGCAATGACTACATAAATCTTGTGGCTACAAACTTGTTGGATGCATTTGCAGTTTGTTTTGGTTGTGATTCAGATTATTTTGTGCCCAATAGAAATTGATGGTAAATAATGTAGTGTCATTTTGGAGTCACTTTAATTGTAAATAAAAATAGAATATGTTTCTAAACACTTCTACATGAATGTGGATGCTACCATGAATTAATCGTGAATAGTGATGAGTGAGAAAGTTAGAGGCATAAATATCATACCCCTCCAAAAATGCTAACCTCCCCTGTTATTGGTAATGGTGAGAGGTTAGCATGTCTTGGGGGTATGATCTTTGTACCTCTAACTTTCTCACTCATCATTATTCACAATTCATTCAGGATTATCCATAATAATGGTAGCATCCACATTAATATAGAAGTGTTTAGAAACATACAATAATCTGAAACACAACCAAAACAAACTGCAAATACATCCAACAAGTTTATAGAGTCACAAGCTTGATGTAGACATTGCGTGCTTGGAAAATGGACCAAATACTAAACTTTTTACTACGTTAATACATACAGTGCATTCGGAAAGTATTCAGACCCCTTGACTTTTTCCACATTGTTACGTTACAGCCTTATTCTAAAATTGATTAATTTTAGTTTTTCCCCTCATCAATCTACACACAATACCCCATAATGACAAAGCAAATACAGGTTTTTATAATTTTTTACATTTTTATTTTTATACTGAAATATTACATTTATATAAGTATTCAGACCTCTTACTCATTGCTTTGTTGAAGCGCCTTTGGAAGCGATTACAGCCGAGTCTTCTTGGGGATGACGCTACAAGCATGGCACACCTGTATTTGGGGAGTTTCTCCCATTCTTCTCTGCAGATCCTCTCAAGCTCTGTCAGGTTGGATGGGGAGCATCGCTGCACAGCTCTTTTCAGGTCTCTCCAAAGATGTTCGATCGGGTTCAAGTCCGGGCTCTGGCTGGGCCACAGACATTCAGAGACTTGTCCCGAAGCCACTCCTGCGTTGTCTTGGCTGTGTGCTTATGCTCGTTGTCCTGTTGGAAGGTGAACCTTCGCCCCAGTCTGAGTTCCTGAGTGCTCTGGAGCAGGTTTTCATCAAGGATCTCTCTGTACTTTGCTCCGTTCATCTTTCCCTCGATCCTGACTAGTCTCCCAGTCCCTGTCACTGAAAAACATCCCCACAGCATGATGCTGCCACCACCATGCTTCACCGTAGGGATGATGACAGGTTTCCTCCAGATGTGACGCTTGGCATTCAGGCCAAAGAGTTCAATCTTGGCTTCATCAAACCAGATAATCTTGTTTCTCATGGTCTGAGTGTCTTTAAGTGCCTTTTGGCAAACTCCAAATGGGCTGTCATGTGCCTTTTACTGAGGAATGGCTTCAGTCTGGCCACTCTACCATAAAGGCCTGATTGGTGGAGTGCTGCAGAGATGGTTGTCCTTCTGGAAGGTTCTCCCATCTCCACAGAGGAACTCTGGAGCTCTATCAGAGTGACCATCGGGTTCTTTGTCACCTCCCTGACCAAGGCCCTTCTCTTCCCCGATTGCTCAGTTTGGCCGGGCGGCCAGCTCTAGGAAGAGTCTTGGTGGTTCCAAACTTCTTCCATTTAAGAATGATGTTCTTGGGACCTTCAATGCTGCATATATTTTTTGGTGCCCTTCCCCAGCTCTGTTCCTCGACACAATTCTGTCTCGGAGCTCTATGGACAATTCCTTTGACCTCATGGCATGATTTTTGCTTTGACATGAACTGTCAACTGTGGGACCTTATATAGACAGGTGTGTGCCTTTCCAAATCATGTCAAATCAATTGAATTTACTACAGGTGGACTCCAATCATCGTAGAAACACCTCAAGGATGATCAATGGAAACAGGACGCACCTGAGCTCAATTTCGAGTCTCATGGCAAAGAGTCTGAATACTTACGTAAATAAGGTATCTGTTTTTTATTTTATATAAATTTGCAAAAATTTATAAAAACCTGTTTTCGTTTTGTCATTATGGGGTAGTGTGTAGATTGATAAGGGAAAACAATTATTTAATCCATTTTAGAATAAGGCTAAAGTAATACAATGTGAAAAAAGTCAAGGGGTTTGAATACTTTCCGAGTCTGAAACCTGAGGTTAGGGGGCTTTTCCAACAGTCAGAAATGATCGCTCTTCTTTGCTGATATAGAGCATCTAATCTAGCCATCTGGTCTAAATAAAATGAACCAGTATAATATTAAAAGTAGCCTGATTGAATCTTATATTATTATGACAGTTATGTTAAAATGTAACTGTTAAGGGTAAAAAAAGGATACAATCCAAAACTTCCAGTTCTGAAGTGTGCGGCTCTTCACGTACTCATCAAACTTCTCCCGCATGTGGTCGAATCGGTGGCGTGTGATAGGCACCCCCGTAGCAGGCAGCTGCTCCTGACACACACTGTGGCACAGCAATAACATACAGATCAGATTACTATGTAATGTATACTCACACATGGTATCATCACATATGGTAGGGTGTACACCGACTCTGCCCAGACGCGCTTTGGTGATGAAATTTCCCTACCTTATGTTATAAAATACATGTTTGAGAGACAAAAATGATTATTCATGTTCTGAATCATTCAGTGGGGTCTTTCTCTAACATAACATTAACAGTATATCCAAAAAGTCGGATTTTGGAACCTAATACATCCGATAATAAGCCATGAGCTCTTGACATAGCTGTGCAGGTTTCTCTGAATAACTTTAGAGGATTTTACATTTTGTGGTCGTTGTCTTCAAAAGTTGTTTCCGCGGGTCACAAAAAGCTAAATTAGCATGACACAAGCCTAATTAAATGTAAAAGGCTTTGAAGATTTAAAAAAAATACTTGGTATACGTTCAGTGCTCTGTTGACATTTCACAGAGATATGCTTGTTTTTGTGAGAAATCGTCGAATAAATATGAAAAGTGTATATTAAAATATGAAAATACTAAGTCTCAAAATCAATATCCATCTTACCTCTATATTGTTTTATATCCTGCGGATTCGAGAAGAAAAATGACGATTCATGCACGCAATGCAATTTTCCAGATTTCTTACCACTTAATTTCTCTGGCCTCCATTGATTTAGTCACCCTATTTCTGGCCATCCTACAAGGGTAAACACTCCAATAACTTTTGAACAGATTATAATAAGAGACATGAGGTTTGGACCATTGGTTTTCTTAGAGGATTATCTACACAATTAACATATAATTTTTCCCATTGGTCAAAAGATTTTGATTGGACACCCTATATATTGCTGTGTACCAATACTGAAACCGTCTCCTCAAGAGGAGCGAGATAACATAACAGTGAGGCAGTACGTACTTTATGGAGGCATTGATCTCCTCAATCTCCTCCCGTAGCCTCTTGGTCTCTTCCTGCATTTGCTGCCTCTCCTGCTGCAGCTTCGCAATGTAGTCCACTGTCTTCTGCAGCGTGGCCGCATTACTGATCTGGTATTAAACACAACAAGAATGGTTGGCGATATTGGGAAGGTCATGGAGAAATGTATGTCTTTTTTTTTTTTTTATAGTTTAAATAAAAGCTTTGGGTTGCATGTTGGAGCATTTAACAGTGTGAGGGTATCCATCTTTCTTCCATTACTTTATTATTTGTACCCTGCACCTGAAAATATCTGGATGTGCAATGTGCATACACAATGCTTCTGAAATGATCTTTCAATAAAAGCCATCAAAAGCTAGATCTGGAAGATATGAGTATGATGACTCAGTAGACAGACAACAGACAGATATAATGGCTTTACATTGGACTGGGACTTGAGAGTGGGAACCAGGCTGCTCAGCGTTTTGAAGCCAATGTTGATGTTAAAGCGCCTCTTCTGTTCAGCAGTGATATGGGTCACCCTACGGCTCTGGAACAGACAGTGAGAGAACAGAGACACACATCATCACAATGATCAGAGTTTGCAACGCTTCTACGGCAGGCACACGCAACACCGGACCTGCTTGAAAAAGCTGGAGTTATAAACAGTCAAGGAAACAGACACGAGAGAGAGAGAGTAGCAGGCAGGCGGGTGGGCTGCTGTTACCTGGTTGGACTCGTTCTTGGAGAGGGCTGTGCTGCTGCTGCTGAGGGGAGACTGAGGACTGGAGACCTGCTCTGACCCACACGGTGACCCCTGACCTGAGCCACGCTCCTCATGCCCTGGGAGAAACAGATGGAAAGCAGAACAGTGCTGTAAACATTCCAAAACAATGTGTATGCATGTGTTACCATGCCACATCCTGTATGCATATGTCACTCTCACCAGTACAGTCCTCTTTACTGATAATGAGCTGGGGAGACTTCGGAGTCTGTGGAAGGATATGAAATCCAGGAGCCTGAGAGAGAGATAGAGGGATGGGTAGAAATAAAACACAAATGAAATGAAAACGAACGTACATAAAACTGGGTTCAGATGAAAGTAAGGGAGGCACTTCAGAGCAGACATGGTCTTACCCTTGATAGGCTTGAGGAGGCGATGACCACGCCAGTTGAGGGAACCACGTCTGCTTTCAGGGGAGTTGGAGTAACAATCACTGCACTGGTATGCCCTGGGAAGGGGGCTGAGACAGCAAAACCTTTGACATTACAACCATCACAGAATAAATGCTGATTTTCTCTCATTTATTTCATCTCTAATATTGAGCTTGGATGTCATTGATGATCTTTGCTAGGATCATTTGGGCTGAATTGCCTACAAACATTTACTAGGTTTCATTCTGTTTTTCATTACAATAGTGACTGACTATAAAAATGAGAAACAGTATTGCCACCTTGTGGTGAGATCACAATATGAGATAGCTCTCTAGTGGAGCAGTAATCCCCCACTTCAATAATTACTATTGTATCTATGTGGTAGTGTTTTGGGGGGGGGGGGGGGGGGGGGGGGGGGGTAGCACCTGCTAGGCATGCATTCATTCAATATTACATCAATACACCATTATCATCCATCAACAATTAAATACTTTGGGATGTGATTAACTCACTTGTTAGGATGAGGTGAGATGAGGGGATGGGATTGGCAGGAACAATCCTTTGCACATGGCATGTCTTTTTGTTGGGGCAAGAAGGCTGGATGGGTCTGGGCAGGGCGAAAGTCTGGGGGTGATGGAGGGGGATGGCAGGTGAGGGTGCCAGAGGCTGGAGGGGGGGTGGTGGTGGAGGAGGAGCCCGGGTCAGGGAGCTGAGCTCAGAGCCCTGACTGAAGGTGGTGGCAGCCTCACTGGGTGTAACAGTGGAGGAGGCTGTGTGTGTGATGACAGATGGGGGTGGGGAACCGTCCAGGCTTGTGGCATCGTCCAGGGGTGGGGGGGCTACTGATGTTGCAGTGACAGCACCCTGGCAGGGCTGGGTGTGTGGCAGTGTGGGAGGGGCTGAGGGTTGCATGAGGGAGGAGCCTCCAGCCTGACCACTAGGGGGCACTGACGCAGTGAACAGAGGCATGTAGTTCTGTACATAGGAGGAACCTCCACCGGTCCCACTGGTTTGATTGGCCATGAGGGAGGAGATAGGCAGGGGGACTGGGGAGACGATGAGTCTGTGGTCATGACTGATGGATGGTAGGTCAGCTGAGAGGTGCATGGAGGAGAGTAGCAGGCCCTGTCAAGTCACAAGGACAGGAGAAAAGAAAGCATATTTATAATGTTATCAGTTAGTAAGATGGTGTAAAAACATCTAAGAATAAAGGCAGGAGTGTGTTAGGTCTGGGGTTGTGTTAGGGCTGAGGTTCACAGGGACTTGGCCTAGGGTTGGGGTTTACCTGGGATTGAGAGCTGCTGCTGGGTAGAGGAGTGACGGATGAGGCAGTGAGGGAAGCAGAGGGGAAGATGGGCTGACGGAGGCTGTGAAATAAGTCTGGAAGAAGTCTCTAGGTTAGTTATAATTAGTATAACATTCACTCTACCAACATAAGTGTTAGGATATGCCACCTGCTGTATTACAGTTACTGGACGGGACTAAGAGGTTCGGCAGACTATACGCAACGATTCGGAGCGCAACGCAGTACGTGAATGCTTTTGTGTTTATTGTCACAAAATGGGCAGCCTACGGTGCTTGCAGTGCAGATTTTCTCTGCTCACATTTTGAGATGGAACGTATCATTCCTTGCGTCATGGTGGGGGCACTGTTGTGTAGATAATGAGGCTGTATTTTACCAACAAACTCACTTGGTTGAAACATTTATTTTGGTCCTCTTTCTCTTCTGGCACAAAGTTGTTTCACAAAAGAATTAACTCTATCAATTTAAACTACTGGTTTCTAACCAATTGGCGAAAAAATTCGCATTTTCCCACCAGTGGTGTTTTTCACACCAAACGGACTTGTTGCTGATAAAAATTAGTGTGTGATGAGGTAGTGCACACAAAAAATTTTACCAAATAAAATGAAATGTTCAATGTATTTCCATCGCATTTTCAACTCAACCGATAGTTTTGTCACAAAAACTTGCGTTAACTAGCAAATGTGCCTATTTTGGTCTTGGCATGTGCATTCTAGCCAACAGCTCACAGATACAGTGTGGGTAGGCTAGTCTACATGATGAGATTATTATGGATAAGAGCAAGAATATTTTTATTTCTCAAACGCCAGTCAAGCATTGATCATCATGTCACCAGAATAAGACCCTTGATATTTAATGGAAAAGAGCATCAAGCTCATCACTGTGCACTTTCACCACCCCGTGAAGTTCATCATAACTTATTTCATCTGTAGCCTAATAAACTGCTTGGGTTTCCCGAGTCGTATTGGGAGGACCACAAACCATATCATCGCGTGACTCCAAGTTTATTTAGATATGATGGTTATTAAATAAATTTTTGCGCTTAAGCCCCTAAGGTCGATGTCCGCACCCCCGAGGAATTCTAATTAGCATAATACAACATCCCCATAAAAATCAGTCAGTTTCAGCTAGGGATATGTTTTTTTTGCATGGGATGCGTCTCATTCCAACGCATCCGCCTATGTCACACTTCCGCATCAGCAGTGAAACGTGACAGAGCGGTGAGACCATGAGACATCCCGAAAATCGATCTTCTCACAAAATTGGCTATAGCGTCCAAACGATTTGGCTATAAACTATGACCCCTCTATGGAAAGATGAGACTCTCACGAACACAATGGTGTTCTCCTTTCTTGCTCTACGACCCCCACAAGCGTCTTGCGACTCGTCTGAAGTCGGTACAGCCGACCTGCCAACTTCTGTCTGTAGTGTCCAAACAGTTTGGGCTAAACACTGTGCAAAGGTGAGACTCTTACGAACAGATACATGTTGGTTGTTTCGCTCTAGGATGCCCACAGGCCTCACAAGACTAGTCTGCAGTGCTATTATTGCGAAGCGGAAACGTCCTGGAGAAACAACGGCTCAGCCGCGAAGTGGTTGGCCATACAAGCTCACAGAACGGGACCGCTGAGTGCTGTAGCGTGTAGTGCGTAAAAATCGTCTGTCCTCGGTTGCAACACTCACTACTGAGTTCCAAACTGCCTCTGGAAGCAACATCAGCACAAGAACTGTTCGTCGGGAGCTTCATGAAATGGGTTTCCATGGCCGAACACAAGCTTAAGATCACCATGCAAAATGCCAAGCGTCGGCTGGAGTGGTGTAAAGCTCGCCGCCATTGAACTCTGGAGCAGTGGAAACGCATTCTCTGGAGTGATGAATAACGCTTCACCATCTGGCAGTCTGATGGACGAATCTGGGTTTGGCGGATGCCAGGAGAACGCTACCTGCCCGAATGCATAGTGCCAACTGTAAAGTTTGGTGGAGGAGGAATAATGGTCTGGGGCTGTTTTTCATGGTTCGGGCTAGGCCCCTTAGTTCCAGTGAAGGGAACTTTTTTTTGGGGGGTGGGGGGGGGTGGGGGGGGGGGGGGGGGTGGGGGGTGGATCAGCTTAATATTGCAGATAGATTGTATCTTCTATCAATGTAATTGTCTGCATCACTTCCAATCCCCCATGTTTTTATATATATACTCCCCTTTATTACTTTTCAACCCCGCCATCCTTTCCCTACTTGGAGTAAATTAGTGAACAACAATGCCCAGGCCTCTACTTCCGGTCTATACTTACTATCTACACCTTATGGACACAGTTAATTTTACAATAATTCTATTATATATATATATATATATTTTTTTTTTGCTCCTGAACTTCTTCTACTCTCAACCTCTCTGATCATTTTCATGACGTCCATCCGGTTTGCTTCTATATGCCATATCTTTCTAACTGTCTAACTCTTTCCCAAAAGCTCCCAACATACAACCTATATACTTATTATGGACACAGTATGCTTACATTATTAGTTATCTTTGTTATTATTTGTTGTTATTTGTTATTAGTCCCATCCTTCAACTCTATTCCATACCTCCCATCTATCTCTTAACACCATCCATATAGGATTTCTATTTGCCATATATATTTCAACCGTACTGTGATGTTTTACAATAGTTCTGAACCTTTCTATTCTCATTGCTTCTACAGATTGTGAATTAAAAATAAAACATTTTTGCTAAAAGTATTATAATATTATTGATCGATTGACTATTACTTTTCAGATCACCCAGTAATGCTATCTGCAAGGTTAGCTCCAGGTAAATATTGCAATCCTTTAGCCATTCCTGGACCTGTGTCCAAAAACAAGCTACAAATGGACAGAACCAAAACAAATGATCTAATGATTCTGTCTCTTCACAGCAAAATCTGCAGAGCTGGGAAGATTGTATCCCCCATATAAATAACATTCTATTGGTAGCAAGAATTTTATATAATAATTTAAATTGAAAGATTCTAATTTTTGAATCCGGTGTCGTTTTGCGTGTCAGTTCATAAACACTATGCCATGGGATCGGTACGTCAAAGATCTCTTCCCAACTACTTTGCAATCTATATGGGACGGCTGTCAATCCTTTGGTCCTTAAGTGAAACTGATATACTTTTTTATTTATCACAGTTTTCCTTATCCAATTATGTTCTTTAATGCAAGGCCGACAGACAAGTTCCTTACTTTCTCCCCCTTCCACTTTCCTCTTCCACTTTTGCGGTAAGGCTGCAATTATTTGGTTGTAATTTTGGGTAGAGCAGACATTTCCATATGTTTTTGTTAGCTGCATGTGCGACATAACTCCACCAGTCCTACCGATGATATCATTTACGAAGATTATACCTTTTTTAAACATTCTGTCAAAAAATAAAGTTTTTTTGTCAATTAGTATATTTGAATTTAACCACAATATTTGTTGCATTATTTGTTCTGTCGTTTCTGGAGGATTAAATTGTAATTGCAACCAACTTTCTATGGCTTGTTTTAGAAATAGTGATATTTGGGAGATGATTTCATTTTCAAATAACTGCAAATGAGTTGTTGTAATCTGAATAAAGGGAAAAAGGCCTTTCTTGAACATTGGGTGAGACAATCTTACTAATTTGCTTGAGAACCAGTTCGGATTTAAGTATAACTTTTGTATGACTGAAGCTTTTAGTGATAGGTCTAATGCTTTAATATTTAATAATTTCTGTCCTCCGAATTCATATTCATTATATAAATATGCCCTTTTAATTTTGTCTGGCTTGCCCTTCCAAATAAAATTGAATATTTTTTTCTCATATAATTTAAAAAACTGTTCGCTAGGCATAGGCAAGACCATAAGCAAATAGGTAAACTGGGATAATACTAATGAGTTAATCAGGGTGATTTTTCCACAAATTTACAGGTATTTTCCTTTCCATGGTAGTAAGATCTTATCTATTTTTGCTAACTTTCTATTAACATTTATTGAAGTGAGATCATTTCCTTTGGGATATGTATTCCGAGTATATCCACATCACCATCAGACCATTTTATTGGTAAACTACATGGTAATGTAAAAATTGTATTTTTTAGTGATCCAATACGTAATATAGTACATTTGTCATAATTTGGTTGTAATCCAGAGAGGTTATAAAATGTATCTAGATCCTCTATGAGGCTGTGGAGGGATTCTAGTTGTGGATTTAAAAGAAAACATGAATCATCAGCGTACAATGACACCTTTGTTTTTAAGCCCTGTATTTCTAATCCTCTGATATTATTATTGGATCTGATTTTAATAGCTAACATCTCGATGGCCACAATAAATAGATATGCCGATAGTGGAACCTTGTTTCACTCCTCTTGACAGTTTAAAACTTTCTGAGAAATAGCCATTGCTTACTATTTTACACCTAGGGTTACTATATATGATTTTGACCCATTTTATAAGAGATTCTCCAAAATTGAAATGCTCCAGGCATTTATATATAAACCCCAGTCGAACTTTATCAAATGCCTTTTCGAAGTCTGCTATGAATAGCAGGCCTGGTTTCCCATATTTTCCATAGTGTTCTATTGTTTCCAATACTTGCCTTACAGTGGAGAAAAAAAGTATTTAGTCAGCCACCAATTGTGCAAGTTCTCCCACTTACAAAGATGAGAGAGGCCTGTAATTTTCATCATAGGTACACGTCAACTATGACAGACAAATTCAGAAAAAAAAATCTGAAAATCACATTGCTGGATTTTTTATGAATTTATTTGCAAATTATGGTGGAAAATAAGTATTTGGTCACCTACAAACAAGCAAGATTTCTGGCTCTCACAGACCTGTAACTTCTTCTTTAAGAGGCTCCTCTGTCCTCCACTCGTTACCTGTATTAATGGCACCTGTTTGAACTTGTTATCAGTATAAAAGACACCTGTCCAGACCTCAAACAGTCACACTCCAAACTCCACTATGGCCAAGACCAAAGAGCTGTCAAAGGACACCAGAAACAAAATTGTAGACCTGCACCAGGCTGGGAAGACTGAATCTGCAATAGGTAAGCAGCTTGGTTTGAAGAAATCAACTGTGGGAGCAATTA